CTATGTAGTAGACTTCAAGGACGAAGTCTAATCCAAGTGGGGGAGAATTGTAACATCCCGATGATAAGGTACTTCAAATTCCAACCCTATAACTTTATTATGTTGCATTTTGGTCCCTAAGTTTAAGAAAATGTGCAAAAGGAGCCCTAGTGGTATTTTCGTAATTTAGCCTTGGGAGTACGCCATGTGTACGTGGTGTAAGCTAAGCGTACTAGGGCGCTCCCTAGTACGCTGGACGTACATTAGTGTACGTTGGGCATACTTTCTAGTTAAGGAAACCCTAATTTTTAGGGTGTGTCTCGTATTTAAGCACTCTTATGGCCTCATTTCATTCACCTTAACTGCCTTCATCCCTCTCATACATTTGTGCAACCCTAGTTTCACCTTGAAGAGCCTTTTCAAGCTTAGAAGTGTGTTTTTGGTGCCTTAGAAGAAGAAGGAAGGAAGCCAAGCTCATATTTAAGGAGTGGAACACTTGGATCTGGGATTTCTACATCATTTGCAACCATTCTTAGGTGTCGGTTAAAGAGATGAGATTCAGAGTCAGGACCTCATCAGCTTCTATTCAGTTTGTGAGGTGAGTTTTCCTCACTGTACTTGCGGGTCGAAGGTGATGGGTTTTAAGCATAACAAACAATCCTACGTGTGCATGCAACCCTAAATAATTTGATCTACGTTTTCTCTAATTGAACAACAAAGTAGAAACCCTAGTACACTAGTATATAATCAAAATACACAATTAGGGTTAAAAAAATCATACCTCAATTGTTATGTAGTAATAACAATGAAAACCTTGTGTTGTTGAAGCCTTGAGAGCAAGCGCCACAAATGTCACGCCTCTAATGGTTCACACCCAACACTAGCAAAAAAGAATGATTGAGAAAGAGGAGAGTGCTTCAAAATTTCGGCTAGGCCTTCCCAAGAAGAGGATGGCCGAAATCCATAGGGTATATCCATATTTATAATGCAGTCATGAAACCCTAGATAAGCCCAAATCCAAGATTATCTTAAACCGGGTAATTATCGACTTTCCTGATTATTAATTAAGGATTATTCTAGAAACCCTTAGGCATCCAGAAATCATCCAATCACAATGGAAAAACCGTCCATTGCCTATGGAGGGTTCTAGATTGCCTTTTGCTCAACTATTGAACAATTACAATTCAGTCCCTACACTTTTAATTAATTCTTTTAATCCCGAAATTAATTCCAATTAATTTATGATTAAATATTAATTAAATATTATCATTTCTAATTAATATATCATTCTCATAATATGATAACAAATTATTTATTTCAATTTATTAATCAAATAATAAATCCAATGTAACGCCCGTGTTTCGAGGCTAATCATTAATCTGATGATGTAATAGTCAAGGTCAACCATTGTAACCTATTTTAAAGAATAAAGATGAAGTACTTGAATATTATGTGATTTTATGTGATTATATACTTGTTTGTAAAGATATAATAAAAATAAGCGTCAAAAATAAAATGTACATACATTGCGATCGCATGTTTTCATATTTTACTTCCAGATGAATTTTTGGCACTAAAAAACCTCGAATCCAAGTTGCGACCAAAGTTGTGATCGCATAAAGGCTCCATGCGATCGCATGGACCAGATTTGCGATCGCATGTTTTGCCTAAGACGTCCTAAATTTCATCTACTTTTCAGATCATTTTGAATAGCGTCAATCGGAGTTACGTTTGATGAGATATGGTCAAAATACTGATAGGGGGTCAAAGCTGCCAGCAACATCATTTAACTTTAGATTACAGATTCTATCTTCATGTGATCAATTCTATCGAATGTTTCTTGACCAAAGCATCTTGCATGCATTCCTCATAATCCGTCATAAGTCCCCAGCTCCATTTAATATCCAAACATGCATCCAGCTGCTCCCAAAGCACTGCTCCACTTGAACTATCTGAAATATACATAAAACATGAGTAGTACGGGAATTCTAACGAAAGACATGAGCTGAACATTATTTAAATAAATGACATGAAAATGTACAAATATGATGCTAAAATGATAATAAAACTACCCTATAAGATGCATGAAATGGTGTCTAACAAATCTCCCCAAGCTTTAACCTTACTTGCCCTCAAGTAAGGAAAAGATAAAACATTATAAACACATGGAAAGATGTAGATAACCTAAAAAGAAATTTAGAATAAAATAAAAGAAAATAAAAACTTAAACTAAAATACTTCACTTTTTTTGTCACATGATCAGATTTCACAACGAGGAAGCTCCAATGAAATCACTACCTAGATAACAGTCTCAATACCTTATATTAACGATTCATAATTATATTTAATGAGTTAAACCAAGCTTGAGCAAATAATTTTTACGCCGAATTAAAGAATATAAAACCAAAAGGGTGTAGCTAGGAAAGAATGTACCTGATAAGTTTGCAGAAATCTGATTTTGACGATGAATGTTGACGAAAAATCTGGATTTCAGCAACTCTGTTGATCCTCTAATTTCCCAAGCTTGCTTGGGACAGCAACCATCTCTTTATTGAAAGCGAAGAAAAACTAAAAACTACTCCTCGGTTTGCCTCCCGGATAGCCGCCCATTTTTAAAGTCGTTGGCTCAACTTTGCCCAACCAGATTTATGAACTGGTGTGGTTGGGACTTCCTTGAAGCTCAACTCTTTTTCTTGTGACTCCAGATCCCTTCAAATATGGAAAGATTGGTGGATAAGGCTTATCCAAGGAAACTCCCTTATTCTTAGCCTCCCTGCCACCTATATAAACCCTCCTAAGGGTTCAAAATTTCATACATCCCTTCTACAAGAGGTAGAAACAAAAATCCTTCCTCCTCTCCTCTCTCCTCTTTAGCCTCCAACTTGCTAGGGTTTGGGTGTGAGCCATTAGAGGCACGAGACTTCTGGTGCTTTCTTTCTAAAGCTAGATCAAGAAGGAATCATTGTGTGTTTACTACAATAAACATAAGGTAACTATTTTCTAATAACCCTTTAGTGTTTTTTTAAAATAGCAATGTAGTTCTAGGGTTCTTGATATTCAATAGTTGTTTGCAAATCATAGTGAGAACATAGATCCTTTAGGGTGCATGTGAACTTAGGGTTTATGTTTTTCAGCCAAAAATAGATTTTTTGTAACATATAAAACCCATCACTAACCTTGATTATTGGGTTAGGATCCTTTCTTCTTGTTATCACATCACCAAACCTGCTCCTCTCAAGCTTAGTGATTGCATTTTATTTCATCTCTTTTTCCTTTGTCATCAACATGTTAAACTTGTTGAGACTTTTAATTTGATAAGGTAAGGAACCAGAGGAAGACATAATTTCTTGAATCTTTTTTGTGTCTTTTCTGGATATCAACCAGTTTGTTGTTTGAATGTTGTGTTGTCGGGCAAACTCTCTAGCCTCTTCAACGGACACACCCTATATGCTTACCATTTCAACACAATGATCTATTTTTGTTTCTTATTAGAGGGACCAACGTCATTCTCCCCCTTTTGGCATCATCAGACTGAGGAGGAAAATGATAAGTGTTAGTGATCGACCCTGTGGAAAAGTAGCAGGAGGAGGACTATTAGGAGGTGGAGGTATTGATGGAGGAGGTCCTAAAGGAGGAGGTGGTGGAAGTATGTAGGTGGAAGAACCGTTGGAAGACGGATCACCTTTAAAGTCATGATGTAGTTGATGGTCATCCACAAGTGAAGACTGATTGACATCATCATCAGTCTCTATATTAATGTCAGTTACTATGCGCTTGATCTCAGTGACATTAGTCTCGATTGTGCGCAGTCATTGATTCAAATTTGATGTGAGTTGAAGAAGTGACTCTAATGTAGAGAGAGTCTTCACTTGAAAAGCTTTGAAGTCAACAAGAAACTGACTTGTTGGAAGTGTATCCCCCCTCAATGATTTCTTGCTTCCCCTGAATAGTATGAGGCATTTATTGAATGATCGGATGTTATTCAGGCTGAACAGGGAATGTGGAGACATGTTGAACATTAGATCTCTCAAGAGAGCGAAATAAGGGTGTTCGAGCACTAGAAAGAGAGGAAGTGTGAGTAAAAGATATAAAACCTTAATCACTTGGAGGAGCTTATGAGATGTATTCAACGTTAGCATCATTACCTTGTTGATAAGATAGTTGAGTTGGAGGAGTTTCGCGAACAATACCTTTTTCTTCATCAGTAGATGAAGATTACTCAAATCAAATGTGTTTTTTGGGTCGAATTGATATAGCTTCATTGAGATCTTGTAAATTTGCTTGGTTGGCTTGATCTGGATAGATAGTAACCACTTTCGTATCCTGACTATTGTAATTACTGCCATCGTCTAAGTTCTTAGTGACAGCGTCAGCATCTTCATCAGACTGAGAAACACTCTCAGTGTCTGCTTGTGTGTCTTCTGCAATTTGTTGGTTTGACACTGAGTGAGTTTCATTCCCCGTTATTTCTTCTTCTGATAAGATAGCAGGAGCCACATATACCATTTTTTCACACTCATATGGAGCATTACTCCACTTCTACATACCCTTTGTAATGCTCCATTCATCATCAGGATCTTGATTGAACAACTTGGAGGAAGTGAAGGACTGAATCTTGTCCTCGGCTTGATCATCATCATAACCAATATCAATATGTTGAAGAATAAATTCCAACCATCTGGAATATGGAACACGAGGAGATCTTTACTACCTTGGATAATTTCGGCAAATTGATCAAATATCATCTGAGCAAAATCAAGTTGTTTATACTTGATGAAAAAGAATGTGTTGATCAAAAGAATTCATTTGATCAAGGCTTTTAACTTGATTTGTGCGACATTTTCCTAGAACACCAGTAAGATATTTCCATGTAGCAGGAAGATGCCGACGACGAACAATGTAGTCCTTTTGTTTCCCAAAACTATAATCCAGATTCTCTATCACAGCATGACAATCATCCATAGACGGAAGAGGAAAATATTTATCATGAATTGGGAGTCGTAGGGCTCTTCGAACATCCATTATATATGATTTCCATCATTGATTGTGCCAATAATTACTCCAGCATCAATGAAGGTAGAAGTGAAATAGAAATCACAAACATGTTGTGGAAGAAAAGAATCGGGAATATCTGCAAGAGCATAGCGAAGTGGACAAGCTGAAAGATAGACCACAAAATCTTCAAATCCCCTATTCGCATAATTTTTGGGGATATAGGAAGAGAAAGCCACACTGTTTTCAATGATGACGATGGGAGAATCAGGAGTTCCAGCAGTTGTGATGGCATTTGGAGTCGAAACATATGTGTATAGAACAGATAGAGGAACCATTGCGATTAGGGTTCTTGTGATTGAAGACACATGATGGCTTTTGATCATAATGGAAGCGTAATGTGATGAGAATGATAATCCTCCCCTTTTATATCTTTGAGAGCACTGTTGAGTGGAAATCAAAAGAGAGATAAGAATTCGCCACAAATCTCATAGTTATCTAGGAGTGACGCATATCACAAAATCTAAAAAGTTATCGTTTAAAACAAGCTACTGAAAAGACGGTAAATTGATCCAATATTTGCATTTGGTAACAATCATCAATGACAAAACAATGTAGATGACACCAGTGTACGAAACATGTGGCGGGAAGATATAAGGAATTTTGGTGTATCACACTAGTGTGTTGTTGCACTATTAGATCATTCACAAAGACTTGCGAAGTCTCATATGTGTATGGTTCTATATGCTGAATCATTAACTACTTTTATTAGAAGAATAAATTTGGGTAAGAAAGGGATGATGCAGGTAATACATTCCGGTAAATGTACCCATCGGTATAGAGTGTCGAATTTTTATCAGTGTATGGCTTTTACAGTGAATCATAAAATTCTTTGTTAGAAGCTTTGTAGGCCGAGAATGGGTAGGTGTGTGTAATATATCATGGTACATGATATTCCATCGACACATATTTTTCAAGGTCTCATCAGTGTATGGTATTTTACATATAATCATAAAGCTTTAAAGAAGAATTTAAGGGAAAGAATGGATTGGTGCGTATGATTAACTACGGTACATAACTTAACCATCGACACAAATTTTTAAAGTTCTCATCAACATCTGGTATTTAACATTGAATCATAAAACTTTTAAGAAGAATATAAGCGCAAGAATGGGTTCGTGCATCTGATAGACTACGGTACATAGTCTTACCTTCAACACAGAATTTTGAACTTTTATCAGTGTGTGGTATTGAACAATAAATGGTCAAGTTCTATAAAAGAATACTTGTAGTGAGAGATATGGAATGTCTCAGTCACAGTGAGTTAAAATCAGTGTGAATCATGGATAGTGTGTAGCTCATCAACAGGAAGTAGTTCTTCAACCAGTATCATAGAGTTAAGTTTTAGTCTAGAATCAAAGGTTAGCCATTAATACATTTAACATGGTACAATACAAAAATTATAATCAAAGAAAATGAAACATAAAAGAATTAGTCAAACAAGGAAATATACAAAGAGAGAGAAACATGCAGCTTTTTCAGGGAACTCATAAAGACCAAATTTTGTGAATCCTTTGAATTGAATGATCATTAATGACTTTCTTGCTTCCAAGATATCTATCACTCAACCTCTGTCTATAAAGAGTAACAAAAACACAAGCAAACATATCAAAATATAGATCAAAACATAAGAAGAGAGAGAGAGAGAGAGAGAGAGAGAGAGAGAGAGAGAGATGATCTTATTCCTTGAAGTAGAGATATATTTGATGGATTCCAAGCTTCAAATTCACCATACTCAGAGAAGATCCAACAATACTTAGTATTTGTAAGCAACGAGTTAATAGGTTTCAATCTTTGTAATTTTTAACTTATGAAAGCCAACATAAAAATACTCAAAGAAACAAAGAGTTGTGAACCACTAGATGAGAGACAGGGAGCATTGTCTTGAGAGTGAGTCCTTTGGATCTCAGATGGGGTTTGGTGTAGCAGTGAGAGCACATCTGCAAATTAGTCGTGCCATACTCACTAGCTTCACCTAGCCCCATTGCAACAAAAATATGGTCCAAGAAAGGGCACTAAGAATATCATGAACCTATTGTTTGGACACAACTCTTTCTTATCTTGTGTCGACAATAGGACGCTCAGTTCTAATCACCATAACCATGTACTTAATACTAAAGAGTGCATGCACTGAAGAAAAGATGTAGAGCCAAGATCAATGATAAGATATTGCAACAAATGGAGTGCAAGGATTGGAGAGTTAGTATTTTATATGAAGAACAGGAGATCAACATCAAGGTAAAAGATAGATGATCCTGAGACTTGAGAACAGAGAAAGAGAGAAGAAAACACTAGTGATCATTAGGAACAAGTATATAAGCATGCAATGTAAACTCCTTTGGTAAAAAAAGCTAGAATTTTATTTTTCTTAAAGCAGATTTCTCATGTTTTTGCATTGTTTGAAAGTAAAGCAGCAAAATACTAACAGAACAGAGCAGTAACTATTTATCAAATAGAAATTATATTAAACATATAAATGTTATTCTTCCTGATAGTAGTGAGCAAGATAGAGTTCCTTGAATCAATGATATTTCCATCCTCTTTGTTGAAGAAAACCTTATAACCAGTGTCACAAAGTTGACTGATGGATATAAGGTTGTATCTCAGGCTTGAGACATAAGAAACATTCTTGAAAGGCATAGACTTGCACTAAATCGATCCAAATCCCATAGTCCTTCCTTTGTGATTGTCTCCAAACCTCACCAAAGGGCCATCCTTTTCAACAAAATCATTTAGAAGATATTTGCATCATGTCATATTCCTTAAGTAGACATTATCCAGATACCAAGCATGCTCATGACCCTTTAAAGCTAAGAAACAAATTAACACATACATACCCATTTTTCGATGGGTTTATTAAAGATTTTATAACATGAAGAAGGAAGACAGTTTAAATAATTATCCTTTTTGAGCCATTTCTCATTTCTAAAACAAATATTGTCAAGTCTCTTAGATTTTTCATCAAAAGTACATTAACTGATCTTCTGAGAAGTGTTTCCACAACGCTAGCATATTCTCATCCTATGTTGTCACACCCCCGAACCAAGGATGGCGGAAACATCCGGGGGTGGAGGACTTCATGTATAGTATCACAA